TTCAAAGTAATTTTTGTGATAAAATATTCAACTTCCTAATCATGATGCCTATATTATTTTTTTTCCTAATATATTTTTTTTTTGTCTTATTTTTGGCTATACAAAATAATTCAAGGATTTTTATACAAAAAAACTACATTATACGAAATGTTTTTACTACCTCTATATTTTTTTACTTATATTTTGCTACTTTATTATTTATATAAGCTCTTCTATAATAGAACCTATATTTTACACTTTAAGAAATTGTACATTACAATGCAATAGCATTAATAAAAATAATAATTTATTAAATTATATATAATTTTATTTATTTTTTAATAATTATATTAAAAAATAGACACAAAATCATATATATATATACAAAAAAATCAACTTAATTTTTTTATATTTTATACTTTAATAAGATTTGAATTAATCCATTACATAAAATAATTCAAGAAAAGAATGAAGACATAAAAAAGCTTTTTTATTACATAAACATGGATGAAAATAGATGACCAAGGGAATGAATGCATTGTAACATTGTCATGTTGTAATACGATAATATGGTGAAAATATGACTAAAATAATTTTTTAATTAATATTCTATTATATTAGTTCAATAAGAATTAAAAATATTCTAACAAGTCTTTTATGAAAGCCTCTTAGCCTGTTTTCTTGTCTTAATAGCAAGTAGATAAAAATTAGTTAGTATTTTTACCTTCTAGGATATAGAAACTTTTTTTCTACCTTAGAAAGGCCATAAATTGTTTAAATCAGGGTAGAAGAGATAAATGGTTGGTATGGTTGATACTAGGATCAAGTTGACAATAGGATTGGGCTAAAAAATCCTTAGGATAGATTAGATTGATATCCAAGGCTCAACCATTTGTGAGGCAGGGCTGAAATTAGACCTTTGGTCACTAAAATGATTGCCTAGGATAAATTAGGGATTCATTTGAAGATCGGAGATTAGGATTTGAGAGCTAGCTTGAAGCTTTTTCTAGGGGCACAAGGATTATTATTGTAGGATTTTTGAGGACTGGGCAATTGTTGTTCAAAATCAGGGTTTGTATTGGTGATTTGAGTTTTATATAATATAACTAGGGCTAGCAATTTTGGCTAGTTCGTGCAATTGATGTAACATCTACAGTTCAAAATTTGGTGCTATTTGGATTATTAGGTATACTAAGTGTATAAAAAATTTTGTGATAATATAATAATGTAGTTTAGAGATATCTGGTTTTTAGCACAAGAGGGTTTCAGAAGTTGGCAGTTTTGGTAGGGTTTCTGTGATATTTGGAGATGTACTAATTGGATCAAGGTGAAATTTGGCATAGTATTGAAAGACTTGAAGATCAAGCTGCACACCAATTTTGAGTCAAAGTTAATAATTGGAGAAGGAGAAATCACTACTGGGATTTTTGCTTCACTTTTCAAGTTGGTGGCTAAGTGACATTAGTGTAATTTTTGGAGGTTTTCTCACAATCTATAAGTTGGATTGGATTGAAAATTCTTGAGCATATAGAAGACTTATATTAAAAATTGCATGCAAAATTTTACATCAAATGAATGGACAGATTAGAAGTTAAAGCTTATTTAAGTTCACAGATTAGGATTGGGGCTTACAAGAAAAATCTAAATTGCTTAAATATGAAAGTAACAAGGTAATTGAGGTTTATGTGTAATTGTGGCTACTAAAAAGAGTGTTTTTTAGCACTTTTGAATCAAAATTTGAATTATATTCCTCTCATATGGGTGAAACCTATTAGGATTTTTTGAATGTTTGTGAAACACAACCTCACCTTCCACAGCTAAGTGCCCAGTGCATTTCCGAGTAATACAACAATGCAAAAAATTATGGTGCCTAATAGAATGAGTTCTACTATTGTATAATGTGTGTCTTACTTAAGAATTTATTTTTAATCAAACATGGATAAAATTAAAAAGATGTCTTAAATAAAATTTAAAATAATCTTTAAAAATCTTAAAGAATTTTTAAGAAATTATAAAGAATTCTTAAGAAATACTAAAATAAAAAATCCTAACCAAATCCTAATGAAATCCTAATTAAATTCTTAATAAATTCAACTAAATCTTAAATAAATCCTAAGTAATCCTAATAAAATCCTAAAAAAATCCTTAAAATCTTAACTAACTCTAATCAATTCTAATGACAGATCTAAAACCTCAATAAATATTGATTATGTTGTTGATCTTATTTAAAATTTTAGACATATTTTAATATGTTGATCAACAACATACACATTGAGAAAAAAACATATTGATTTAGAAAAAAACATTCCTAATTTGCTTAGAAGGCCATCTTCTTTGTCCAATCTCAATATTGAACTTTTAACAACAAAAATTTCTTATTAAGTGGTTCACTCACTATTAAAAATTTTAAAAAATTAAATTAAATTAAATTAAATTAAGTTTAATATTCTTACATAAAAATTTGCTTCAACCTAAATGCCAGATTGCTTAAATTTTGCTTGAATACTCTTGTTGGCCCTAAAAAACAAATATTTGTGATTCTAATCTAGACAAATTCTAATACCCTTTGATCTAATTATTGAAATAAACTTAAATTTTCAAAAAAATAATTAGACAAGTAATATTACAGCCTTATAGGATTTTACTTTTCTATTTGTTATAATACTCACAAATTTCTTAAATATGTAAACTTCTTTTTATGACAGAAAAACCAAAATCATTAAAAACATCTCTAATTTGGAAAGCTCTCAACAACTCAAAATTAATCAAAATCACTTGAAATCCATTTTCTAACAAACATTTTAAAGTCTCCTCTCTAATTTTACTCTTTAATTAAAAAAAAAGAACCCCAAAATAAATTTAGGTGAATGGTTTTGTGCTTCAAAGACTGATTTTTACTTTGGTTCAATTTCTAGTTTTTTAAGGATTGTTTTTGTTACAAACTACTCTTAACTCTTTCTTACTATTTATACTATTTATGTGTATACTATTTATTTTTTAATTTTCTTTATTTTTTCTTAATTATAGCCACACAAAGTAAGTAGAAGCCTTTTTTTAAAATAAAAAACAGCATTACTACTAAATATTTTTACTACTTCCATATTTTTTTTTATCTATTTTTTGATGTTATATTTTTCAATTAGATCCTTCTATAAAAGAATCTATGTTTTTTCTTTCATTATATAGTCTTATTACAATACAACATATAATATTATTTATATATATAGATATATATATATAAGTATAATTATAGTTTATTAAGCTAAAAATTAGAGTTGCTACATATCCTAAAGTATATATTGGATATCCTCAATACCAACTACATAAGAGATATACCATTCACAAAATTCTGGTTGTTTGTTAGTACCTCCATAATAACTTTGATTAATACTATTCTAGCTATCTGTATTCTTTGTATATTAAATTAAAAAATAAAATATTTTTCTTTAGTCTTAATAGTAATTTTTTAGCTTACATAGGAGATATTCTTGCTTGAGTCTTTTAAAACTTTAAACTTGATCTATGTAGATTTATTTTATTTTATTTTATTATTTAATTTTCATATAAAAAATACAATAGTAATACAAATTGCTCTAATTATAAGTATGTTATATAATTATTGTCATCAACATACAAATAGAAGTATTCTCAACTATAAGGCAAAATAATTTGTTAGAATAATTATCTTTAATTAAGATATTATTTCTTATTATTATTTTTTTGCTAAACGTCTTGACTTTCATATACCATATATTCTAAATATCAAGCACACAAGACATATGTAATGCTGTGAAAGTGTTGCCATCATTTGGAATTCAGATAGAAATATTTATTTAATATCAAGTAAGTCTATTATAACACACACACACACACACATATATATATATATATATATATATATATATCTACACATATATAAAAATATAATAATTTTTATTTATTTTTTAAAAAATACTATTAAAATGGATGATCCAAATAAGATGATTGTAAGTAGAAATATGAAATTATATTAAATGATTTATTTAAAAGACATAATTTTTTAAAGAGAAGAATAATGATATTATTTTTGGTTTTTATAATGTAAAAATTGATATCTAAAAACATATATATATATATATATATATATATCTTCAAAAAGATATCAAATTCTAACAAACTTGAAGTAGTTTATAGTAAAGATAGATCAATTTTCAAAATTATAAAGGTTATAAAGAATGAAAATATTTTTTAGTAGATTTAGCTATCTAAGTATTATAACTCTTTTTTCTAATTAAAAAATAATTAACCTTCTATAAATTACAATACCATACAAAATAATATTAAAATTAAAATGATATAAATGGAAGAAAATAAAGGATATTAGTTAATTATGAACAAAAAAATAATAATATTAACTTCCTACAAGGCAAAAAATTTGGTTTCTCTTGTTACCGAATCATCACTATTGTCTAAAGCCAAGTACACTTATATACATCCAATTATATTTGGCACCATGTTGGCACATTCTACAAATCCAAACTTAATTTTCAAATCTTAGCATCCAAAGGGCTTAAACATGATGTATTTGTTGTGGACGCCACATCTACCAAATTGAATTGCACTAGAGTAAGGTCCATGCATTATGTACAAAGAATTACCACTAGTCACATATATTGTAGAGCACATTGTAATATCCCAGTTCTAACAATCAATTAATAATAATAAAAATATTTTGTTTGGATGTGCATTCCTTTGTGCAGTATACAATTAAAAGTGTAGATTATTTTAAAATTTGAACAGAAGCAGAGACTAAACAAAAGACAGCTAATCCGTTGTCTAATAGCTGAGTCCAATAAGCTTCATTACGAATGTCCCAATCATCATCCACAGTCTTCCACATCCATCCGCAGTTGCTTCCAGCTACAACCTGATTGGCTGCAGAAATAGAAGTCCCATCACCATCAGATCCGTAATCGGACGGATACTGACGAAGCTTAAGAGCCGTTGGGTTTCTCACCAGCCTGAGGGACATTTCCAATGCATCCTATATGAGCCTTTGGCTTCATTGCATCCGCACCAGTTTTTGCTACTTACAATCTTTTGCGATTTGTATCCCAGCTTCCTACCGCTCTCGATCTGATACTCTCGCATTTTCAGCTACATTTTCATCTAATTCTTGCCGATATTTTTTTTGTTGTTTTGGGTTTTTTGTGAAGTTGTTTGAAATCTGTTACCGGTGGACTTTTGGATTATTTGCGAAGCTCTCGAGTTTTAGAGTACTTGTTAGTTTTTGTGCACTGGGAGGGTCTGGTAAGGGCCCTTCTAGTAGCGGCGGTCACGATGCAGACCATGGCGAAGGCCTTCCTGACGCCGACTAAGACGAAGAGTTTGAAGTGCGGTAAGTTGGAGAGTTTGCCGTTGAGGGAGACTGTTAGCCCTATTCAGCTGAAGAGGAAGACGCCAAAGGCCAAGACTCCTGGCAGAGCGGTAATGTACCCGGATTTCATGCCTCATCTGGATTTTTGAATCTTAATCAGTCAGTGTCTGGATTTTCTTTTAATTTAAAATGGTTGTGTTAGAGATGTCGCTAGTGTCCCGAAGTCATGTGCCGTGGAGTTTTTGACGTTTGAATTACTCGTTGTGCACTAGATAATTGGTCCGGTATATCCATTCAGAGATGAAGATTCTTGCATTTGGTGAACGGATGTGTATGTTACTGACTATCTTTCTCAACTCACCTCCGCAGACCGACCGCTTCATCGCTGATCGCAGTGCCATGGATTTCAATGTCGCTAATCTTATGCTGACTAGAGAGAATTCGTCCGTGGATGTCATATCTCCTTCCAAGGTACGTCTATTCTCTCGCTTGTACTTTTGATGCACATAGCCTGTAATTTCTACGGCACTACCTCATGCTGTAAAGTATCGATTCCACATGTTTTGATACAACTCATTCTCAATTTTATTGCTTCTCTGGCAGGATGAGTATAAGAAGCAGTTGGCCGAGAGCCTTTTGAACAATAATGGACAAAAGCAGAGCCGCATCTTAGCGTTCAAGAGCAAACCTCCTCCTCCGCCTGAAGGATTCCAAAACGGCCGTCAAACTCTTTACTCTCAAAATGTGTCCGCACAGTCTAAGCCCAAAAAGATGTTCCGCCACATTCCGCAGGCAGCTGAGAGAACCCTAGATGCACCTGACATGCTTGATGACTACTACCTTAATCTATTGGACTGGAGCTCCGGGAATGTTTTAGCTGTGGCTTTGGGTATGACAGTGTACTTATGGGATGCCACCACTAGCTCCATCGAGGAATTGATGACAGTAGACGAGGAAGGCCCAATCACCAGCGTGTCTTGGGCTCCTGACGGTCAGTATCTGGCTGTAGGATTGAACAACTCATCTGTCCAGCTGTGGGATTCAACAACACTACGTCAGGTATAGATCTCAATCTCGAAAAATCCGTCGAATTCTTTAAGGACGTTCGTTTCTCAAGTGCCCACTTATAAGCTGATTCATGATTACTGCATCTATCCGCCCGGTTGACCTATTGGTAGGTGAACCCGTGACGATGGCGTTGGTGTATGTTGTGATGATGTAGTTGCGGACATTGAGGGGTCACTCGGCGCGCGTGAGTGCCCTTGCCTGGAACGGTCCCACGCTTGCCACCGGAGGACGCGACAATATGATCCTGAACCATGACGTGAGGATCAGGGAAAACGTCATCGGATGCATGGCGGCCCACGAGCAAGAGGTATGTGGGTTGAAGTGGTCGCCCTCCGGACAGCAGCTAGCCAGCGGTGGCAATGACAACTTGCTGCACATATGGGATGCGTCTGCAGCTTCATCTTTGTCAGCCAGCCCACTTCACAGCCTTGATGAGCACCAGGCTGCCGTGAAAGCCTTGGCATGGTGTCCGTTCCAAAGCAACCTGCTGGCGTCAGGTGGAGGGACCGCGGATCGATGCATCAAGTTTTGGAATACGCATACTGGGGCATGTGTGAACAGCATTGACACTCAATCACAGGTGTGTGCACTCCAGTGGAGCAAGCACGAGAAGGAGATACTGAGCTCCCATGGGTTCAGCCAGAATCAATTGTGCCTGTGGAAGTATCCATCGATGGTCAAGATGGCTGAATTCACAGGGCACACATCCAGGGTGTTACACCTAGCACAGGTTAGTAATTGCACCTAGACCACATCACTGGTCGCTGTTCATGAATTTCCAGTTTGCGTTCATCAGGTCCTGTGCGCCGGGGATGTCTCTGAGAGATACGTCGTGATGTGGTCTAGCAGAGTCCCGATGGATACACTGTGGCATCCGCTGCCGGCGACGAGACTTTGAGATTTTGGAATGTGTTCGGAACACCTGAGGCCAAATTAGTGAACCAGGCAAAGAAAACGAGAGAGGTGGAGAGTGCGTTGACATCCTTGACTAGGATTCGTTAGGCGGAGATCCGACGTTATATCTCCAGAGTAGGTGAAGCACAGTTGTCATCAGCAGATCCAGGTACGCTCGTCAAGCACTGCACTTCCTGGAATGAATCGTTGAAAGTACGAGGCATGGGTGAGATTTGGTTCCGAGTTGATTGCCGACAGAGGGGCTGTGCCAGACTGCATGTGATTTTGAGTTATATACCAGATTGCCGTTGTTGTAATCATGTCGTTAACCCAGGAACATCCTGCAGAAAGAAATGAACTTTCTGTCGATTGTATATAGTTGTTTTTACAAATTGTTTGTCTACCCGCAAGGGTTTTCTCTACGGTGTTCATGAGCGCCAACATATTCGATGAAAACTCTATCCTCCATCACATGACCCATTGTCGTCACAAGTGTGCGAGTCTGAAAAATGTGTCGTAGAGAGATGTATCAAAGTTTTCTGCAGGTTTTGCAGCTGTAACGTGACGTGACGAAATGTTGGTTATTTGGCACCAGCTCTGCTAGTTTGTCTGTATCGCTGTGTCACAATGCCGCGATCGAGAAGATTAATTGAACTAAATTTCGTGATTCGACCACTGCTGATTTTGTATAGTGCATCGCGATGTGGGTGTTCCTATCGTATGTGAAAGAGGAAGTGGCCGCAACTAGATTATCTGCAACTTGCTGGCACACTTTCCGCTGAGAAAGTGGGGATTTAGTCCCATGCTCCATACTCGAGAATGTCACAGATTGTCACTTCACTGATACCTGTAAATGTTACGTCTGTTGCGACAATAAAATGGATGAATGCAAGTATGCTGTGTGCAGTCGTGCCGGTCATACTCAAAGTTGACAATTTGACCTTGTCACTCATACTTGGAAATCTAGCCTGCAGTGAAGCCCTCCCTCTTTAGTAACACCAAGTCCGTGTTGCATATAGACTTAATGGATTATTCCTTGCATCTCTATTCTGTACACCTCACTTAAATTCCTGAACATATGCCAGCTGCCGTACTGCGAGCTGCACCTTAGGCAATGGCAATATTTTTTACTTGGTCGACAGTTCGCGCAAATCGGCCCAGAGAAGGAGCGTGCAGAGATGAACTCTAGAACGGACAAGACAATCAAGACTTTTCCCATACGGTAAGTCATGTCGACCTCTCTGAAGGCCGTGGACCATCTGGTTTGATTTCATTTACTACAATTCAACCCTCGCATGCCGTTGCAGCTGAGCGTTGGCCGTGTTCTATGTGCCAACATGTACGCAAACTTGAAGGCGGCGAATTATTCTGCAGCCTGTACAATGATACCCCAGGTAGGAGGGAGTGGAAAACACCGTCGAACGCAGCAAGTTTCTTCATCCATATTTGAGGCAGGATTTCTCTCTCAATTTACACTTCTAGAAACTGCAAGATGGTTGCGAGCCGCGCATTGCTATTGTCAGCCAATACGGAAATGAGAATCGTAAATCTCTGAGATTTTGCCACGCGATGAAGGTGGCTTCTGAACCAACATTCTAGGTCCTGATAAATGACGAAAGCGACCCCTTCATATCGGGTAAAAATTCTCATGGGTACTGCTGTACTCTCGCTTCCTCGGATTTGGTAAATCTGTGCCACAGGCGTAATGCAAATTAATAGCAACAGGAAGTTCATCGTGCGACAGCCCAGTTTAATTGGTGTCCAGCGACGAATAGCTGACCAAGCCTGTTGAACGAGAAGAATCATGTTGGGAATCGTTAGTGGTAGGAGAGGATTTGAAATCCCTCGATATGTAATCGCCCGAAGTTTTTCGGCATGTGCATAATGTAGTTGATGATAAGTTAACACACGGTGCCTACAATGTGGTCCTTCTTACGGCCGTCCAGCCCAGTGCGATTCCGTCGAGTTGATATGCAAGTTGGATGCAGCAGCCGTGTTCGTTATCTTTCATATTTCCTGTCTTCTCGTATTGTTAACTTCCTTCTACGATTGCTTTCAAAGCGGTAAGCCTTCGTATTCGATAAGTGTGCCACCTTTTGTCTACGAAGGATAAATCTTTTAAATGCAGCAGGAGTATTCAGCAATCATCCTGACCCAGAGAGTGACGTCGAACTTGTTCAGAATCTTTTATTGTGTTACCATTACTGCTTGTTACTGTCGTCAACATGTCAAACTGTAATTTTTGATAAAGTGTAGAAGTGTGCGAATTGATGTCGTGACCACCATGGTGCATGGATGTAGACATTCTATAAGACTTTCTTTCTTGCCTCTGTAGTGAGGATTGCACTTCAGCTACTAGTTTGTCGTCAAGCAGAAAGCTATAGACTTGAACATCTTTTTCTGTGCTATGAAACCCTTTGTACAGCAGAGTCCCCTTTACACTGTAGACATAGTACGAGAACGGATTTTTTTAATTTTTTAATTTTTGGTAAAACAAAACAGGGTATCTCAAATGCTTTTAGATTTATTGATAGAGGGATTACAATACCTCTGAAGTCCGTCCACCTTAGATCGAAGGCTGGACTAACGGGTTTTACGCGAACGGATTGAGTAGGTTGTTGTGGTTGGGTGAAACTTTTGGGGAGCCACTGAGGATTTCAAGTGGGTAAGAGTTGCATGTGGGATATGAAGCCTGGATTCACTGCAATTTGTAATCCCTATCATAATCGCAGATATTTGCGACTTTTCTGTATCCAGGGGATTGTACCTTACACATCACACATTTTCTCTCACTCACACTAGCTACTAAGCATAACTGTACATAAGCACACCAGTTGCAGTGATCAATATGGTTCGATATGCCATTGTAAGTAAGTTGAAACCCTCCACACTTATTCGGATCTTAATCTGTTATGAGGGAAGGCATTCTTTTGCAACTTGGACTTCTCATAAAGAGGCAGTTTCAAGCATCTTCTCGAAATAGTGCAGTCTTGACCGCCGCGAACCTATCATCCGTCTACTTCCACATGTCTAACAAACACTATCGGTAACTTTTGCTGATGTCCAGTCGTTGTGTCTACTGTCTTGTTTTTTATTGCCATCTAGTTGAAGTCATGGGTGAGTTCAAAGTCTGTCTTTGTAACATGACAACATACAGCCTTTGTCGGGAACACTTGCACAAATGTGTCGTTGCAAATGATTTTCGGCAGTTCCCACAAGGAGATCGTATTTCACCAAGTCTCCGTGATACTACGCATTTGTTATTTCAAGCCCAGAATCGACGTCAACACCCTGTAAGTATCGCACTGTGCACATCTGTCAGCCTGGACTGTAACTAAACGATGACTGTAGTAGCATTTCTTTAATATTTAACTGCCAAAATTAAGGTTGTCATTCAGAACCGACTGATGTAGCTGGGTGCCTTCTGGGGTCTGGCCTCTGACACACGTAACTAGGAGGTCAAGCTAACCAATGCTTCTAGATTAGAGCACTAAATTCAACTATATACTATTTAAACAACGTATTCACGACTGGGAGCCTGTGCTCCTGCACGATGGGAGGAGAACAAACAACGATTTAATAAATACGTATACATTAAATCCATGTTGTGAAGTCTGCCTCCACTGTATCCCTTATAGTTCACCTTGAAAGGATCTTGCCATTTAAGGGAGGTAGCCTGCAATTCACATCTGCAGTAAATGCGGTGTCTATGCAATCGGTCTTCGTCGTCGGCGTCCTGCGGCGTCTCCGATGAACGGTAGTTGTAAGTGTTGCAGAAGAACGCAAATCTCGCGGTGGTAGAGGCGGTAACATCTGTAAAAATCATAATCAACTGTGACACTGGTCCCAAAGTTACACTACGGGAAATTGAGCAGTGTACTGCCAGTGCAGCGTTTATGCAGTAGAGTTAGATTTACAAATGTTCTGTTCGTTGTTACCGGTGCTGCGAAGTGACCGGCAACGACAACGGATTTGGTGACTCGAGGGCGTGCGTAGTCTGCAGCTATCAAGTTGCACGAGTCAGGGTGAGGTAGAATGTCGTTTTTTTTAAAAGTTTTTGGAACTCGTGATTGATGATTCAATGCAGGGTAATAAGTCGACTGACCTACTCCTGGTTTCCATTGGCTTGTGACTAGTGGGGTTCAGATACATGCGCGCAGTGTGCAAGCTGCTGTGAGGTCACGATGATGTTACAATTTATATACCTCCAGCCATCCACTTTGTCGCCGCAGGAAGTTCAGGTTGTATATCGTCGCTGCAATGAAAGTAGCGAGTTGCAAAGATCCCGTCCATGAAATAAGTTTATCTAGGTTAGTATGGAACGATGTCGCAAATTCATGAAAGTTAGCGCGTAGTGAACGATTTTTAATGCTCAAGCTGGTGAGAATAATGTATTATACACTCGACTCCTCGTCAGGAGCAGAAATGGCGCAGATTCCGAATGAATAGTGGACATCGAGTACGAATCAATCTCGAGGGTGCTCGATGATGTGGGTGTCGATGGTAGGAGGACATGGAATATTTGGGGCAAGCGTGAGAATTCGGAGACAATAGCGGAGTTGAGGAATAGTATCTGTGCCCGAGATTATTAGTGACTAAAACCAATATATAGATATATATATATATATATATATATATATATATTGTACTTCGGACAGGAGAAACGCACGGAGAGCCACACCAATATCTTATTTTATCTAAGGATCCAATGGCTGTCCAAAGTCATGAGAAAAGAGTGTAGGGCCTTCCCATTGCTTGCCTTATGACTGAAGCAACGGAGTCCTACCTTTCCAATTAAGCTTCTATAGCTCATATGCGGTGACTTTGGCGCTGTCTAGTTTTGCCCACTTCAGATGACATCACTTCTCTCTAAAGATTCCCAACAAAGTCTTGTATCTGGTCAACCATACGATTAGATGGTCCCAATATACTAATGCAATGCTTGCATACTCGGATTCTCTACATTATTTTCTTCCAATTCGCTACCGTTACTTGATGTTACGACTTAATGCTCTTCATTGTCTTAGACTTCTTCACGGGCAGGACTCTCAATATATCACAAGAAGGAATAATGAATTCACTGGGAGTGGGTTTGAGGGTTAGTCGACAAAAGACGAGTGACGTAAACCACGGGTAGTTTGTTTGCATCTATGGAACATATGGAGGTCTAGAAGTTGTAGGGACATTACGTACTTGCCTGTGCCGATCACGGTGAGTTGGTCTGACACACTGCTTCAGACAGGTTTTGTTAGCCAGCGGATCGATTGAAGAGGCGGTGGAAAGGAAAAACGCGAGTACAAACCATGAACAGTATGCTTTATTTAGGGCAACGGCTACAATGGGTGCTAATTACTAAGCACCAAACGCATGTGAACCTTCCTGCGAGGATGTTGCCATTATATTCATATCGGTGTAATTCTGCTCTACGCGTCCTTTTTTGTGGGAATGCAACATTACCCAAACACGAGCACTCGCAACTTCCGCGATACTTATGCTGAAGCTAGCGACTAGAACCAGTTTATTTTCAGTCGGGAAGGGTTTAGAGTCACATGCATTTATTAGTTATAAACATATAGAAGTAACAGCCAAGAGATGTGCTTGTGTTTTGAAGTTCGCTGAAGTAGAAAAATCAGAAACAGTTTGATCCATACATGACGTTGAATGCCAATTAAACCAAACAGATTCAATTAAGAGCTATTTTTGCTTCTTTTAGCCTCTCCTGAGGTCTGAACAATTAATTCTTCAAAACATAATCATGGAAAAGGTTATATAGTTAAGTCGACTGATTGAGTGAACAAAAGCAAGGAACTTCGTCACCCAAGTCCGAGCACAGATCTTCTACGAGGCAACTGAAGAGCTTCCTTTTCGCTGTCGTAGATCCTCGACAGTTCATTGTTCCGCGGAATAATTCAAAAGTGCAAACCAGAAATAAAATTTCAAAGATGTAATGCAGCAGGTCGTCTAGCTGTTACTCTTTACCACTGTTTCATGGGCAGAACTTATTAAACGTGAATGCAGGATTCTCCCATTCATTTCCCTATCAAGAGGGGAATTACCAGGTGTGGAACAGATGAAGTGAATAGCTAGAAACAGTTTGCTCTTACTGTGAGCTGAAATTGATAATGAAAATAGATACGGTGATCCTAGAGCAGGTGAATGAATCCAGCATAGACAGCATACACACCTGTGCCTTGCGGAACCTGCAAGGAGATTACACAAAAAACTTGAATGCTGCAAACATCTGACGATTAAAAACGAACCCGCTTAGCTTGTTTGAGCTGGAGCATGGCAAAGTAGGCACATAGAGGAAACAAGGCTTTATACCTACAAGTACATAGTGAAGGTACAAGCATCGTCTTTTCCTTTGCGCATGGAAGCAGCTCTGGTCGTAACCGTTGTTGTCAAGTCCGTGACAATTGAAACATCTTCACCTATTGTAGAGGAACACCATCCCTTCATTGGCGCCGAGCTTGATATGAACATGTATGTGTATACTGTGTGTGTGTATATCTGTTTCGGAGGTCAAAACTTTGTTATTACTGCAGTGACCGGAGAGGATGAACGTCGCCATTGTTCACACCACCAACCCCATTACTTGTGCCGTTAGCGATCACCCCATTTACTCCTAACGTAGAAGGTGGCGGCATTCGCTTTCGTTTCTTCTTCTCGTATGCGATTCCCCTGGCCTTAGCTTGCATCTCCCGAACCTCTCGCAAGTACAGCCGCACCTGTCTGGCTCCAAAGGGGTTGCTTTCAGGCATCCCCCCATTCTCTTCAAAAGCCGCCCGTAACCTTCCAATCAGGGCGTCGAGGGAACCCCACGCTTGCCGCAAAGGGCAAGGACATGGATGGGGAGGATGTGGCAGTCCAAAGAACGAGCATGAAGCAATGTGCACCTTCGTCTTTCCAAATTGGTCCAGGTATCTCATGAACTCCAATACATGAGCTCCCGTGCATCTCGCTAGGGGTAAGGGTGGGCGATGGTTCCGAAGATACTGTCCGAAAGTGTTCCAGTCCCGGCGTTTTTGTGCCTCGTAACGACTTGGAGCTCCTGTGTTCTGCTCATGCTGGTTATCGACCTGGGTTGGCGGAGAAGCCATTCCGTCCAGAACCGGTCCGACTGATCTCATGAAGCCTGATGATGGGCCTGCATCCCCCCGATTCACATTGTTGCTAAGGGCAACTCCGCCATTCATAAATGATTGTATCCGGTTGGCAAAATCGTTCTCTCTGGTTGATGTAGCGGGCTTTGTATCCCTGTGCATACTATAAACGTACTGTTCCTCCGGTCGGAACTGGAACGGCATCGTCTCGCTAAATCTGTTGTGATCGCTCGGGTGTATACCTGGCGCTGTTGGGACATTGAGAAGGTTGATGAACTCGGAGGATCGGAAATCGGACGTCATTTTATGTCGATTAGCGGATACTTATGCGCGTACGGAAGATCAGGGAGGGAACTCTTCGACGGATGAATTAAGGAACAGCATGGAAAATGGTCCTGAAGCAGAAAATTGTATCGAAACGTCTGCGGAGTGCGTCTTCGAAAATCTGAAAGGATACCACAGTGCAGATGAGAAGATGTTTTAAAGAAAGAAACACTGCGCACCAATAAAGTATCAATGAATGACGTTGAACCTGATTCGATTCACAGAACTTTGTAAGGATTTGACAGTAAAGAATATCTTATGGGGTAAAATACATTCGGGATTCTATGACACTTTGATACATCCATGAGTTGACACAAGTAATGGTTATATAAATGCATACGATTCTACATATATTGATGCTGGAAGCAGTGATTATCATTCTTAGACTTTTTGGTAAATTGAGATGACCATTTAATGAAACACATACCTGTTAGCTGATCTTATGTTTAACACATATGATGTAATTACATCAAAACACGATCAGAACCGGGGACAGCACTGCAATTATTTCATTGATGGGATCCGCCAAGAAATGAGGATTTATTAACTGGGACAAGGAATAGGATAAGAAGTTGAGGAGTCTTCGTTATTTCGTTGAATCACCAGAATTGCCCGAGGGGACTGGGCTTCTGCTCGGTGATCTATGAACATCCAGATCCGTAGCCGTGGAAAAGCCGAATCAGCTAGCAACTGCGCCAAGTCATTAAAATTTAAACAATTAGTCTAGAGACGTTATTGAACAGACGGCTCAAACACCACAAGTAAGCCTCTCACACTAAAACTAGACCCTAGTCTCCTTACAGCAGTGACATGTTAAACTGAAGCATGACTATGGAACCAGCGAATGATAGCAAGGACTGAGGAAATTCCCATGCCAGTTAACTAGCTTCCTCTACCGACAAATCTCTCTTCCGGAGTATGCAAAAATTCTACGTGGTCAGGAATGACAACACTTCCAAAACACCACTTCATCTATCAATATTTGTAAGCAAGATTGTATCTTAAGGTTTGCACCTACAAGCTTTCCTTGCAGTGCGTTCAAATGTAGAAGTTGTAGCAGTGCTCTAACTCTAAAAATTTAATATATAATCCTGCAATGGAAGATACTAAAAAGAGACCAGAGAGTCATGAATCATGATCCATGTTATTATGCACACTTGAAAATCTCTTGGAATGAAAATACTCAGTTCTAACTTTCTGGTTACGAAAGAGAATACCACGCAGGCGGATCACTGGAACAAGTCCGGAAGAAGCATTGTGGAGGAATCAATTTCCTCTCACTACTTTGTTTGCTGCCTAAATTCTTGACGTGCCAAGCTCTTAAACACTAGTGTCTCGCATCTCAAAATAGCCAGTTGTAAGAGTGCTCCTACTTTGCTCACTGATTTAACAGGTCAGAAGTAAAACTAAATCAGGGTGGAAAGGGTCCCAAACTGTTAACTACGGATTCTTCTGAACTCTTTGTGAAGAACAGATCAAGATACTATACATCCTCGGATGAATGATCCGCGATGCAAACCAGCATCGGCAAGACTTCAAACCTAGTTTTCATGTAAAGGATCTGAAACAGAAGAAGTGACAAAAACAAGCTGGTACTTCTGCACCGATACTGCTAACGTCTGTCCCCCTGACAAAAACAGCTGGCCAGAAGGTCCTGTGCAATCCTCTGACCTCCACTGACCTTTACCAAAACAGCGACGTAAATTGAATCGCTTCTAGTAACATGTCCGACCGCGATGATCCGGTGCTTGTAACCCTACTCGGCGTTCACAACACTTTCACGATCGGCCACTTCTCCGCCTACCTTTCGACTCACTCACTCACTACTCACTCTCTTCTTCTCCTCCTTCTGCTTCTTCTTCTTCTTCACTGGGTTTCCAATCACTCGACTGCCAAAAGGGTCATGAAGCTCTCTCACTTACACTCCCTCACACGCGATCGCGCACGTGACAGTGTAGATTACTGGGTTGGGAATGGGAGCGTAACCACGAGGGTGAGGCCTCATCCCCCTACTCGAGGAGGTCAAGAAATAGAACAAAAGCATCGCCGCCTGGGAACAGATTCCCTTAATACTGTCGTCGCCCCACTAGTGAGTATATACAAAATCGAGCTTGTCTTTGTCCACCGAGTCCTCTCAGATCCATCCGTGTTTGGTGCACCGATTGGATGATCCGATGAGCTTTCGACACGTTATACAAGGAAACTCCCACAACGTCAGAGTCGGAACTCGGCATCGTTCGCATCCCGAGGACTCTCTCATCATCTGCACGTACCGAGCTTCGATGATCGAGGGAGGACAGGAAGACGCGAAAAAAGTAAAAGTAACGAAGACGAAAGAAATATAGTAAAAAAAGAAAAAATAGTAAAGAAATGGAAATCGTGGGTCGGGTGAGCGGGACGGGTGGTCCCACCGATCTCGGGTTTCAGTCACCCGACCCACGATTGGAGGTGCTTTCATGCCGTTGCGCTTTCATGGCCCTCAAATTGTAAACAATTTTGTTGAATTTACCACTCTAATAAGTATGAATTCAGCTATTGAATTAAGAGCCATTTCTAGGGTGAATCCTTACCTGAATTTAAGACATTTTTTAAGTATTTTGAATAATAATGCAAAGACCAAGCAAGCCTAAGAACCATACTTGATACAAGGGTTGGAAGAGAAGCTACTTGTGTGTAAGAGCAAGAGGATTACAAGAGAATCCACAAAATAATGAAGCTCAAAGGATGTTAAGAATTCTAAGTTAAATGTAATACATTGTGACAACATGAATTGGGAGGGACAAAGGATTTGGACTAGGATCTTTTGGACTAGATTAAGAAGGATGATTGAAGATAGTATATATACAAATCTTTGGATTAAATGGCAACATATAATAGGATGTATTAGGAATAAAATAATATTAAAAAATATCAAAAATTGTCTTCCTTACATGGATACATGTTTACTTTAGATATATTTAGAAAGTATTTTGAAAGCATTTTTGAATATCTTTTATAATTATTATATTTCTAACTAAAATTTAGTGGTTTTAAATGTAATATGTATGTATATTATTTATTAAGTATAAATTGGTTTATTATTTTTAATATCTAGCAAACAAAATTAACTCAATTTTTTTGTGCATATAAGACTAGAATATTTTTTGATAAAATTGTACTGTACCAAGAATTATTTTTTATATTATATTATGGAATCATTTTTTTTTGTTTTTTTTTCTTTTGAATTCAGCAAGTATTTCTTTTTTATTTTTACTTAATATTATAAAGTGTATACATGTCTTTAAAATTTTATAAAATATATCAAAAATATTATTTTTTTTAAATTACATATGATGCCAAATAATTATCTTTTAAAATTTTAGTATTTTTTAAAACTAAGAGGGAATAATGGATTCAGGGAATTCATTATAAATAAGAAATAGTATTATTTTATAGATGTTTTTTAAGATATACACCAGATATATAAGAAAAAATTGTGGATTTAATATAGAATTTCAAATAATTATTTCAAAAACTTTAATGCCTAGTCTACTTATTAAGTTATATTAAAAATATTTATAGTAAAAATAATTTTAACTTTAAGTTTTGATTTGAAAAATGATAAATATGATAAAATTAGTTTCCATAAGTATTATTGATATATATATATATATAATCATATATAAATATGTAATAATAAATAATATTTCTTATATAAGTAAATTAATTTTAAAATAAAATTTTATATATTAAAATATATATTTTAGTATTTTAATTAATAATTTATCTATATCAAATATATTTTTATGAAATATAATTTTTTTATAATCATATCAATTTATTTCTGAATTTAATAATTCTATATAAATATACATTTAAATTTTATTTCTAAAATATAAATTAAAGAAATCTAAAGATTATAAACAAAAAAAAAAATAAAAAAAAAAAAAAATACCAAGTCAAAAAGAAAATTAAGTACAAACCTAGAAATTTATATATATTTGAATTATTCTAAACTTATATTACTATACCTAAAATATCTTTTGTTTAATGCCTATTTTTATTTTAGAAAATAAGCCTAATGATAGATTCTAAAGGAGATTATAAATTATAATTTAGTTATGCAATTGACTTTAGCTTTATGCATCTTCAAATACTATCTAAATTATTATTTAGAAGTCTAAACATCTTTCTATGAAAACTTCTATAAGAAATAGGTCTTAAATAGATACAAGAGACTATTAAAGTTGGTATAAATATATAGAAGATTCCAAAAGGCTACTAAAAAGATTTAAGAAAAGTGATCCAAATGTCTACAAGATTCTAAAAGCTTTTAGAAAGTATTTGAAGATGCATAAAGCTATAGTTGATTGTATATCTATAGCATAACTTCTTCTTCTACTAATAAATTATAAAAAAATCTTTAAATAATCTATTTCTTTGTATTATCTCTAAACTTTGAATAACCTAATCTTTAAATAATCTTAGAGATTAGAGATAATCTAATTTTTAGTAATCTTAAGTAATTTTTATCTCTAATCTCTAAGATTATTATCAATTTTTATTTGAGTTTTTTAATCAATTATATCAATTTAAATTATATATTAAGATAGATTTACTATATGCATAAAATCTAATATATATAAAATAAGAAAATAAACAGAAAATTATATATTAGAATAGATAAATTTATTTAAAATATAATGTTATGTCTTCTAATTTTAAATGATTGTAATTTTAAACTTTTATGTCTTCTAATTTTAAAGGATTGTAGAATTTTCTTCGTCATTATTTTGTATAGAAAATACTAATTTGTATTAAATTTATATAAGAAAATCTTAATAATATTAAAAATAAAAATATTATTTTAATTAATATTTAAATTAATATAATATATATTAAATATTAAAATAATTTTTAAATTTAAACTTTATTATTATTATTAAATAATATTATTTTCAATTTTCAATATTATTCTTTAATTATTTTTAATATATATGATATCATATATAATAATATTTTATTATTCAAATCTATATAATTATTAATTTTATTTATGATTAAATATTATTTTATATTTTAAAAAATATATAATTACACAATAGAAGATTTGATAAGTAAATTATAAAAGCTTCCAAAAATTATAAAGACGTAGCTAAAATAAATACAAGATTATCAAAGAACTAATCTACTTATTTCAATCTAGTTCTATATATCTAAATAAATGTAAAAGAAAATATGGCTATTTTTATATATTTCTCTTATTACTTTATATATATAGAAGAAAAACTAAGTTCACTCTTATAAACCTTTTTTACATTTAAATTTTGTTTTAAGATTATTTACTCTTTAATTAGAGAAATAACTAATCTAATATTATATTTTTAAATATATATATATATATATATATATATAGATATGAAAGAATTCGTTAAAATAATCCATCCATTTACTAAGTTAACCCATCCTATTATAGAGAAGGAGGGAAATGAGAGAGGTTTGAATGAAAGTTGGGAACATGGGGAGGGGAGAGAGATTAGGATAAAGAAGGCCAGAGACAAAGGTGACTAGGGCTAAGAATGAGGGGGGTGTAGGTGAGGGCCATAATTGTAATAATGGTTTTTAGAAATAATCTATGTTTCTAATGATGGTTACAATAAGGTGGATTAACTTAATAAATAATTTGATCATTTTAACATTTACCTATATATATTTTTTATTATTTGTATATGAATATATCTTCTTTTGACAAATGTGTTGAAGTTTATGTTCTTGAGACAAATAAAACCAAACAAATCTAATGCCAACAAAAATAAAATTAAAAAAAACAAAACAAAAAAAAAAATTAAATTAAATAAAAAAATAAATGAATTATTAGAATAACTTTGAGAATAAAAATATAATAAAAATCACTCTTATTTTTGAGAAAATTTAATTTTTATCTTATTCCATTCACCTAATCCAAAATACTAGCTTTGATTTCTTTTAGTTATTTATTGATGTTTTTACATAAAAATATTTTATAATAATTAATCTTATTTTATCTACCATTTAAAAATATTTATTTTTTAATATAACTTCAAGATATTTATAATTATATGAAAATAAATTATAAACATATAACTCATATATCATTATTTGTGATTTATTTAGAATTGTGGTAAGTTTTTCAAATACATCTACTATATTTGTTAATATATATATATATATATATATATATATATATATAAGACATAGTTAAAGATATTGGCTTAAAAAAATAAGATCTACTTATTTAAAAATCTAATACATATGTCTTTTTAAAAAGAATATTTTGCAATATCCAAATCTAAATGACATCTTTAAAGATAAGAATATTTTATTTTTTAAAACAAAGACCACTAAAATACATTATATTAACTCAATAATTAAAATAAATAAATAATTAAAATATAATTACATCCTTCAAGAAGCATAGTAATCCATTTACTTTATATATATATATTAGACTTAAAATTAGTCTTCTCAAATCGTTAAAGATGCAAAGATTAAGAAATATAAGAAATATAAGATATAAGATTATAAATAAGACCATGTACAATACTATAAACAAAATTAGAAACAAAATAATGTTTAGACTACTCCAATGATTATATTGGCAAGATTGAGGCACCCCTCTTCTTGTTAATTTTTGTAAATACTACATCAACTAGGTTCTATGGATGTTTTTAGAGAAAGTTCAAAATAATATGAAATATCCTAGAAAATAAAATATTTCTTTATAAAAACTTTTGTAAGATTTTGGAAGGTCTTAGGCAAGGGGGGTTCTAGAAGATTCTAAAAATGCTTGGTTATCTAGAAAAAATGATAAGAACATTTTACAAATCCTAAAAAACTTTTAAATTCTAGATTATATTTGAGGTGACAATTTGTTGTATGTTTCATTATATTTGGATAAATGTTGTTATCAAAAAGAATTAAATACATTTAGTATTTTTCTAATTGTGGTACTAGATCAGTAGTACCAACCATTCACATTCACAATAGTACCATTCACACTCCAATTCCAAGCATTCACATTCATTTCTTGATGCCACAAGAGCCATATGGCGTCAAACCCCTAGAGTTTACACACTCCTAGAGTTTCTTTCAACATGTACAATTTCTTAAAGCTTGACAAAAACGCTAAAATGAAGCAATTCTTCATCTTATCCCATGTTTCACCAGGAGGATGCTGTCTGCTGGAAGCAGCCCACACTGCCATTCAAAAGCTGACACAGGATTGGAATTAGATGTCAGTTGTAAGTAAAGTTATAATCAGATCGATCTTCTGTACCACAATTAGAAAAATCAGACTCAGTCAATAATTAAAGTTATAATCAGGTCGATCATCTGATTTACGCATTTTAGTTCCTTGCTGCTACAACTCTTATTTTATAGAACTATGGTGGCGATGGCTAAATTTACTGCATTAGACTGCTCCACTGTCTAGTTATCAGGTTTTGATTCCTTTGACAATTCAGACATATCATTAGCATGGACGAGCTTAACTTCACAGCAGACAAACGTAGGCGGCGACTTATGAGAGAATAGATAGATGCTTAATTGACGGCTTCTTCATTTATAGATAAATTCTACTACCGTTCATGGTCCCAATCCAGACAAACATTTAGAAGATAACAAAAAACTTGACATCAAAAGACATTACCAAAAGAAGATGAATTATCAAAAGAATAGCAACAAGCGTATGGGATTTAACAAAGATGGAAACTTGCCACGGTTCGACAGACTGATTATTGAATAAATATGGCGGCAACTTCCAGATGAGTTGATACAAAAAAGCTCACTTAGACATTTGAAGTCCAAAATTGCTTCTACAGATGAGAAAGCTGCCTTGGGGCTCTTCCAAACCCGATAACTTACATCCTTTAATAGGTGACTGGGCGCAACAGAATGAATTCGTTGACACGTGCCGTAAAAATTGACAGCTAGTACACTGGAAGCCCCTGAAGAGGATGAAAATTCGATCCCAGCATTGGGATAGGAGGGCAGATTTGGCAGGAGGCACGCTCAAGGAAAAGCCAATATAATTTGCATCTTCCCCATCCGGCACAACACTAAGCGTCATAAGGCTCTGAAATAGGAATCCTAGCAGATGAGCTTTAGCAATGCTGCACTTAAAGCTGCTGTGTGCTCAAGAGAGAATTCTCTCTAAATCCTCGCACAAGATGACAACCAGATGTATATCGGGTTTAGACACGCAGACAGCTGTCAAATCTAAGGTTTCTCATCAGAAGTCTCATCAATTAGACCGTCAATAGTATCAGCAGCTGCGTCGAGCTCCTCGGAATCCTCCATAATACGATTGCTAACTTTATGCAATTGCCTCCTAACAAGCTTCTCATAAACACCAGATTCTGTAAAATGTACACCAGGCGTATTAGAATTGCATCAAGTTCCACATTACATGACAATTAAGCAGGACTTCACTCATAAAACTAAAACCCCTGAACATGATTGCTTGACACAATATTAAATCAAGTAATAATATTGTATCAAGCGATAAATTATGAGGTCAGAGAAGCGTTGAGAACGTACTCTTCAACAGAAGTTCTTCATGAGTCCCCTGTTCAACAAGACTGCCTTTATCCAATACCGCAATGTTATCAGCATTCCGCACAGTTGAAAGTCGGTGTGCCACCAAAACTATAGTACGCCCTCCCTCTCCGATAAGCCGGTCTAGTGCTTGCTGTACCAACGCCTCACTCTCAGTGTCAAGAGAACTTGTCGCTTCGTCCAAAAGCAAAATTTTAGGACGCCGTAGCAACATGCGTGCAATTGCGATACGCTGCAGGTATTCACGTGCAGGTAATCAGAAATCGAAGTCTACATGGAGCGCATTGGGACGGAAAAGAAGCATGATGGGTTCAATACACTAATGATACTTAATTACTAAAAGTGCTGGACTATCCACCAGACCAGTGCGTGTCAAACAAGAAAAACCCGGACACCTCACAAAATGAAAATTACTTAAATGGAGCACATGTATCAAATTAACGCTTGTGGAACACATCAGTTCACTAGAAATGAATCATCAATGTTCAATCACGTACAAAAAGATGAAAAAGACGAGATAAAAAAAGAGTAAAGAGCATTACTAAGACTAGAAGTGGTCCATGTAACAGAACTTCACTAGGGACGACCTCTGACCACTTGCCAGAAACGAATAAAAGAGAATCCTGTAGAACAATGATTTAAATGATTAAATACCTGCCGTTGTCCACCAGACAGACGAACCCCCCTCTCTCCCACTCTTGTTGCGTAACCTTCGGGGAACTTCATAATGAAGTCATGAGCATTTGCATATCTGTTGCACAAGAGTAAGTATTAATAATGACTAAGTCACTATACCAAGCTGCACAACTCTAACGCACTTAAGATAATGTAGAAATCACATGTACATCTCCACACTATTCGCCCATTGACCAGGGATTTGCGATCGCACATATATGCATTCGTCCAATGCAATTTGCTCAATTAATGACGAGATAAAAAAAAAAAAAAAAAAAAAAAAAAAAAAAACACTGCATGCGAGATAGGCACAGCAGCAAAATACATAGCCAATGAAATATACTAGGGACCAGTACAAGAGAAAGAAGCACACATACCTTGCTGCCTCCTCCAGGTCTTCTTGCCGCCATTTTGACAACCCATAAGTGATGTTTTCTAGGATAGAGCAAGCGAACATTTGTGTCTCTTGTGCCACTAGTCCCATGTGCTGGTGGACAGATTTGAGATTGAGATCTCTCAAGTCCCAGCCGTCCAAAAGAATGCGCCCCTTCGTGGGATCATAAAACCGCATAAGGAGATGGACAATTGTTGACTTTCCACCACCACTTCGTCCAACCAATGCACAAACGTCTCCTTCGCTAACTGTAAGGTTAACACCCTGCAAGACAGGATGTTGTGGGCGCATCTGATAGGAAAAGTACAATTCTTCGAGCCTTATCTCTCCATCCAACTTGGAAACGTGCGTGCCTGCATTCCGGTCTATATCTGGAAGAGCATCGACCAACGATAACACGCGCTGTGCAGCTCCTGCTGCTCTGGTCAAGGACATTAGAACCGACATGATACTCTGATATGCACCTTGAATTTGATTCCAATACAGTTGAAATGTAATCAGTTTCCCCGCAGACAGCCGATCGTTCATTACCAGAACTCCTCCGTACCTGCAGGAAAGATTTAAGTTGTTTACTTCTACGTTACGTAAAAAGAAATTTCCTTGTATACTAGGAGGAAAATGACATAAAAGCCATGTTCACGTACCCAAGGTGATTCATCCATACTGAATTCAAAATCTCAGCTTAGATTGAACCCAAGTGCAAACCAGGGAGGTGCCTATACAAAAGTCGAAGGGTAAGAGAAATGCAGAACCACGGACACCAAATTCAGGGAACCTAGACGAGATATTCCTTACCAAAGAATTAGAACTGATGCTCCTAAATCCAGCCAATCATTTACGGCGACAGCCCCTGCATAAGCAAAAGCATCCCGAACACCTTTCTGCATGGCAGCACAGGTTTTGGATTTGAAACGATCAAGCTCTGTATCTTCGGTGGAGAACGCACGCACTGTGCGGATGTTTCCAATAGCCTCAGAAGCGGCAGAATTTGCCTCAGCAAGTAGTGCATAACGCTTCCGATTGAGTTCCCTTGACCACCTGCTCAATCAAAAACGAGGAAAATATGGTTGAAACCGTTGATACTGTCAACTTAGCAAAATGTAAAGCGGAGGCTAAGAATGATCTAGACTTTATCAATTTTTAATACCAAAGAAAATACCTTGAATAAACAGCTGTAATGTGCATAATTGGAGCCATTGTGGTGAATGCCAGCATACTCAGCTTCCAACTTATGATGAAGCACATTGTAAATCCGCCAATGAGGGAGATGGAGTTGCGCAAAAGTGCAGAAAGCATCCAATTCACTGGCTCCGCCATTGAAGAGACGTCGTTCGTAAGCCTGGAGGTAAGCTGTTCATGCGAATCCACATCCTCAATGTTTTAAGGGCATGTAAAAATTATGTCAAAGCCACAACAAAAGAAATCTGAAAAGACGTCGGAAAATGACCAATGCCATCGAAGAACTGAGACTTTCAAACTAAAAGTTATGACCACTAATAGTAAAGCCCTATTTGCAACCTTTTCATTAGTTGCAAAAGTACTAACGTTTACTTCCTAATTTCAGGCATCCACTAGGCTTAGTTTGGAGGTAGCACGCCCACCTCGCCAGATGTAGTGCCATCAAAGTAAGCAATATCTTGGATGATAATGCCTATGAAAAGTTTGTCTTGCAATGTCTTCAAGACGCGCTTTCCTACTACTGCAAAACAGAGGTTTCGAACAGCCTCAAACAGTCCCGTCAACAAGCTGAATACAATCAGCAGCAGAACGTCCCTTCTGAATAACCCTATAGCCCTCTGAATTACATGATCTAGGATACGGCCCTGCAATAAAAACGGTACACAACGAATGATGTTAATGAGACTGTTCGACATTATGTACCCATTTCGGTACATTTAGAGGTGCACAGAGCAAAACCCTCCACACTAACAGTCGAGAAGGAGGACCTCGACGTAGAGACAAAACAGATGGCAAGAATGCCCAAGTAGTAACTCTGGTACACACTAAGGTGAAGACATGCAATAAATACCTGATAGCTGGGTAGTATCAAACTCGATGCAGATGAAAGTCCAAGACAAAAGAAAGCACAGGCCAGTAGGTAGGCTTCTCCTCTGGCCAATTGAATGGCACGCATTAAATAGCTATTCTGGTCAACATCCGTCTCATTTTTCGCACCCTTATCTCCCCTCAAGGCACCTTCCTCGGTGACATCTCCATTTGCAAGGTTCACACTACACCCATGAGAGACAGTATTAATTAGATTGTACTCCAAGAACAGATGTGTCTTTGCCGTACTCCACGACACCAATTTCAGATATGCTATTCTGGTCTCCAAATTATTGCAGGAGCTCCAAGTATGTTATAGTCGTTCCAAGAAATCCACTGTACAGCGTGAACGTTCAGTTAAATGAAAAATATACACAGACAGGAATGGCACGGCAAACCAACCTGTTTGTAACCACAGCAATACGAGGATCCTGTGAGTCAAGTCTACGCCTTGAATTTAAGTAAAGAGCACGCCCCATGACACGATTAGCGTCGACAACCCTTGTCAACAGAGAACTCTCTGCATTGATCCACACAACAGTAGTGCCCATCAAAACACCTTGCAACACTTCAGCCCGTACGTTGAACATCGTATGTTTCTCATCAAAATAGAAACACACACACTTCGCCCCAACGTATGCCTGCATCCCACGAATATCACGTCTTAGCCATCAAAAAATTGACGAAGTAAATCTCATCAACCAGGGCTCTTCGAGCTATCAACCTCTCAAACTGAAAAATTCCTGAAAGATCAGTTTTACGGAACAAATACACTGCTGGCGGGATGTTCTGCATGGAGATTTACAGTTTTCCGTCCAATAAACGTATTTCCACCAAAACGTTGAGTAAACAGAATCATTGAACGCTTTAAAAACAGGATAAACACAGCCGACAGAGTACCCGCAACGTCTCAGAAGCCATTAATAACAGACGATCTTAAACCAGGCTCTGGAAAGTTTACTAAACCCGTTTCTACAACAGACAACACCTTGTTTAAGTGGGTAATCAAAAAATATCCTGAAGAGGGGTTACCTGAAAAGCTGTGCAGATAAGAAAAGTCACGAAGAGTACAGCATCTTTCTTAGATGATCCAGAAAACCACTCTTCATATGCAGTGAGCGGTTTAACCTCCGTCTTCACCTCCGTCTTAACGAGAAGAGGCTCCTTAATACTACCATTTGCTTCACCATTCCGAACTTTTCCATTGGCTTGAAAAAAACCTTTTGAATGATCATCCTTCTTTGATTTCGGCTTCAGCTTAGCTTCCTCTTTAGAAACTGCCTCTCTCCAAGCCAAGAGGCTTCCCACGTAGGCCAAACCAGACAGACATAGGATTCGTATGAAGCTAAGAGCAATCAAGTCTGACGTGTCCGAGTAGAAATCTCTCAGCGAGTCCCATATCGTAAACTCACTCTTCTCCCTCCAAAGATGCACAATGCTGAACAGGGTCTGCACCAAACGCAATTCCGGTGAGCACTACCGAATACTGACAACCAGCAGAGTACATTGATAAACGTCAGGCATAAAACCCTCTCATTGTCATCGATAACATCAGGATCGACAGTGCTAGAGGCGCAAGCTGTGTAAAATCCAGAAAGAAACGCATTTCAGAAAACATCTAAAACAGAAGATCTCCTGTACTATTGAGAAATTAATTTCCTTCCATTCCAGACACTCCTAAGAAAAACATTCGAAGAGAAAAAATCCAGGTAACAAGAACTGCGCACTTACGTAGGAGACATTATCAAGCGAAGATGATTGAGCATACACAGGAAACTATTTCTCTCGAGAATCCAACGCACCTGACAGGACACTGAAGACACAGTTGATCCAGATTACAAATTTACCACTACCAACAGCATGTGATAAAAATAATTCAAGGGTGTTGGAATACCAATGCAGACGCGAAGTCGATACAGAAGACAATGCCGAATAGAGCAAGACGCCATGCTCGTTGCTTTCGGGCAAGGTTGATATTAGTAGTACCAAGAAACACAGGTGTCTCCGGGTTATACCCACTCTTCTTCCCCATCCAGTAACAGTCTTTTTAACTCCACAATTTGCTGCCGTATCCCTTGAACTCTGCGCGATTGAAACAAAATGGCTTAAATTTTCGTCTTGAAACAGAAAACACAATAAACTACACTGTTAATGATCAGACGCGCAAAATAGGCCACAGTACAGCCAACTCGTGTGCCTAGCACTGAGTTAGAGAACCTGAATAAGTAATTTAAATCATTTAGCATTCAAACTGCACATTGTTCCCAGTGGAGTGTAATGCAAGCGACGAGCCACTTCAGGACTAATTACAATATGAGACAACAACCGTGAGTGCAAACTCTGCCCATTCAGTGCCTAAAAAAACATGTGAAACATGCTTCTGCATTACTATGCTAATCAATTCGACTGCAGGTACAAAGTGTAATTCACATACAAACTTGCATTTGTTGCTGAGCCGGTGTAATACATTAAAGAAACCATGCACTTAAGTGTCATACATGTAAAGACGCCAATCTGTAAAAATTTGATAGACTTGCAAGAGTGAAGAGGCCAACGGCATCCAATAGTGGTCATTTGTGATCCAATTAACTCATCTATACTACAACAGCCTCTCAGAAGCGAAGCTCTGCAATTCAACGTCAACAGGCAATGAACGATGCCAACCTGTAAATTATATCGAGTCGACAACAGCCGCAATAACACCCTCGAATCTGAGAAGCAGCACTCCACTAATCACATGCATGAACCAAAGATTTTAATCCCCACGAGGACTAGAATTTATTTGAGGCAGAATTCAGAAGTATGTCAAGGGTAGTGACTGGTTGCCAAATTCGTCTTCAGTTTCATCCAGTGGAGAAGTAGCTCCAACCTATCCTATGGTTAAGGTAAATTCCAAAGCATTTGCCGCTGGGCGTGGGCCAAGATAGTAAGTAGCTGTTAAAATCGAAGAGGTGACCTATGATTTTCTCCGTTCAGCAAGCAAGGCTAGTAAAAAAGCGGAGGCAGTAAGGCGGTTGTTCGTCCTCAACATTGTTTCAAACCCCTTTGCCTACAAATTCTCCAAACACTTTGGAAGAACTGGAGAATATTTTATTATGATCACACCGGAGAACTCAAGCTCAGTTGTAATTTGAGGCGGCGAGACGAACCAAACCAGCGAGACGTGCAGCGCCGTGCTATAGTTCGACTCGAAAGCAATCTCGTTGCCAGAATTCCAACGTGTTAACGTCAGCTCTGCAGCTCGGAGAGCAGCTACAAACCAGCCTCCGCCTTGAGAAAGACACTTCAATTCACCGCTGGACACCGATCACGATAACAACAATTAGATCCCAATCTCTCTGCAGAGTCATGCGACCCTACATGCACCACGAAGGGTAAAAACACAATAACGAGCAAATCAAGTTATCATTTAAATGCAAGTCCCTCTCGCATGTGCTATGGCAGATGATATTAAAGCAACAACTACATGAAACAACCAGCGGCTTTGTACTCTTCTCTAACAAATGATACAATTACCACCTACACAGACCACCACTCTTGCACAGCAATAAGTCTTCAAATGCCAACTAAAGCGGGTCTAGCTTCACCACCACGGAAGCTACGCACCATAAACACTGCTCTTGAAATTTCACAACAAGAAGTGACGGTGCGCAACCAAGCTAGCAACCCAAAGTCCGAAACAAAGAGAACGGTCACCCGCACCATGCCACAACGGGTACACCGCGGGCGTTGTAAGTACGAGGGGATAATGGCCCTAGTGCAAGAGAACAAGAGGAGAGGGCTGATCGAAGAGAGGTACCTATAAAGAGCGAAACAGACAGAAGGAGCAAGAAGGCTGACACATGGACCGAGCCCTGGGCTGTGAAGCAGAGCTGATGCCGCTGTAGCAGCCGGAAAAATGAGACAGACCAAGGATTGAAGTTGGCCTGCGAGCAGCGCCGCATGACTTTTGCGGCGAGGACACAACTAACACACCACCAAACTTGAATGGGACCTCGGTGGAACAGCACGGGGAGAAAAGAAGAAGGGGCGGGCGGAGGCGCGGGGATGGCGAACGGGGCCCGAGCACGGGCAGATGACGTGGACCATCACCGCGGCCCGATGGGCCAGCCCCCGAAAAGTGATAATTGAGAGAGAGTGGGGCTCCGTGAAGCATGTGGCGATGTGGCCGTTGGTGAGGTTGTGTAGACCGGGCGGCAGTGCTTGGGCGGCGCAAGCCCTGCCACGGCCCGCCCGGGCGTCAGCCCGCTGTCGTGGGAATGTAAGGGCCTCGATGGACGGTGGAGAGTCGCGAGGTGCATCCCCAGCAGAGCCATGGCTGCCACTGATCGCCCACTTTTTCATTCCCCTTAGGCCCCCTCCTCTACAGATTGGGCAACGCTATTTTTTTGCCCACATAGAAGGTAACGCATGAACCTATATAATTGGATGCTTGGATTGAGGAGTGGGAGACTGAAGCCCTGCTCGACCTCCTCCTCCATTTCCTCTAGGAGCCCGAAGTGTGTGTGTGTTTTTTTTTTGGCCTTAAAAATAATAGAGTCCCCCTTGCTCACCCAAAATTGTTCATACCGTTTCGCAAATACCACTCCTAAAGGTAAAGCCACAACGTAGACTTGTGTGATGTACCCCAGGGATGAAAGCAACTTGTTGCTTGCCCCATAGTCAAGATTACCCCATTTCAACCATTCCATTTCCTGTACAATTGCAGCTTATTGAAAGAGTTTGAACAGTTCTCAACAGCGTTCCAGTCTTGAGGAATTCTCTCTGTAAATAATTCAGTGTGTATATGACACTGGAAATGACACATGGGGAACTTGAATCCTGACATTTTTCTTTTCATTTCGTTTCATTCCCTCCTGGACCTGAGTATGATACTGGGTTTACTAGAGGTTTAAAATAAGGGATCTCGGGACTTGTATTGGGAGGAAAACCATTCACACATCAATTCCATATCAAAACAAAGACTGAAACTTTAATTGTCGTTCAAAGCACATGAAGTCTTCTTTGTTAAATTTAGCTTTTGAAACAGTATTGGATGTTAAATAATAGGCTTCATAACATGAAATATATTCAGATTCACACCTGCTTTCACGCAGAAGAGGAGAAGACTGGAATTACTGGACAAATAAAAAGCCCGCCGGGGGAGTGGACTGCCACCTCAGCCTTGCCACCTCAGCCTTGCCACCTCAGCCTCGCAGATCGAGGGTCAAAGCCAAAGATCTGTATCCATGTGTGCCACGTGGCGTTCAGATGCGCGGGGACCAAAAGCCGCGGAGTGGAGCACCGGAGAAAGGGCGTCGACCTGTCTAGCCCCTCATCGTTTGCAGCTCCCTCCTAAACCGCACTTTATTTTACTGATGGGAACGCCTTGATGCGAACGCTGAGTCCCCCAGGGAACGGGAGGAACAGGATGAGGGCAGAATGGGTTGGGATTCACTCCGATTCCACCAGATTCCATTTGGATTGGAGATTCACTGCCGCGCTGAATCTGAGCCCTGACATGGGAAAAAGTAAAAAATGTAAACACGTAATATAGTTAAAGGTAAAGTCATGCAGATGCTTGAAAAGTGGACACCAGGGGGATCAAACCCCCCTTCAATTTGTTTTTCAAAAGAACTCACCCATTACAAAAATCTAAGGAATATTTTAATGTGGAAATACATCTTGTAATACTTTGATAATAAGCTAATAAAAATGGTGAGAGAGAGGTGTGTCTAAAAAATTAAAAAATTAAAAGGCTTCAATATGACTCATGTTTTCACTACCATGTAATGTTGATAATATGGTTTAATTAGGCATCTCAACTCATTTGGAGTTAGTTGGAACTTAAAGTGAACCCAACAGTAATAGTAAAGGATTGTCTCATTGTACAATGTATAATCTTTGTATAAGAACCTTAGCCAGAATTTCTCTCCAAAATAAACTATTTGCTTTAGGGTACAATGGACACAAAATAATGTTACTGATATTAACAGAAAGGCACACAGAAAGACAGAATCATTGAATAGATTGAATAGGATTTATTACAAGTGACAATGTTTTTATACCTTGGCAATTATATTAATAAAATTTCAACGTAGTATTTGAATTAAGTGATTCAGGTGAATTATATTAAATGAATAGTTCATTATTGCAATCCATTTGTATTTTAGTGCACTACACACACACACACACATATATATATATATATATATATATATATCTGAAAAAAACAAGTAAATGACTATTTATACTCCACTTCAAATCTAAAACAGTATCATTCATCAATCATGACCTTCAACCCCTGTTACTAGTTAATATTCCTTGCATTTCTTGAATCAACTTCCATATTTTTTGCATGTTGTGACTCAATTATTTAAATTCTGTGTATAGTTGTTGAACTGAACAAGCATACAAACACATCAAATCTATATATATATATATATATATATACATATATTCACACTATCATTGCATCATAACAAGAATGAAGTATTTTCCGCATTTATGTTCTTCATGAAGTAGTCAATACATGTACATGTATGCACATACAAAAAAGAAAGAAAAAAGGGCAAGTATAAGATGCAGTCCTGTAAAGTGTGGGGTGGGATCCTCACCCAGTGTGAGGGATCTGCATCTCTGCCAAAGACACTGGTGACTATCCATGGTTTCCTGAAAATAACCCATTAGCATTGTATATTATTACCACAGCTATAAGTAACAGAATGAGCAGAATCTCCCTCCCCTTCACAGTCTTTATTGTCAGGTGCTTGGACCCCCTCTTTGTTGGGTCAAGCACATGCTGCTGAACAAGGACCCAAACACACTCTTTACATACATGCATGCATGCACACACACACACTCCCTTACTACAATGCAAGGAAAGGGAAGGATTGCAACAACAGCACAACCAAGGGAACAATAATAAAGGAAATCACTGACTGCCTGACTGACTGACTGACTGTTTGTCTGTGAGTGTGTTGATCATGAGTCAAGTGTGTGTTTTATGTTTGTTTTTGCAAGTCTGCCATTGGAGGGATTGACTCAAGGAATCTGAACCAGTGTTTGTTTGTTGTTATTGGTCTGGGTGGCTCTTTTCTGCTTCAGTTGTAGTGTCCCAGTAACACAAGCAAAGAGGGAGAGGTTGCAACCCCGTGAAAAAAGGACACCTACCAGGAGGAGACAGTGAATGAGAAAATAGAACATGCTCTCACACACACACACACAATTTTGTTTTAATGGTGCAGAGGTGGGGTGATTCTCTAAAGCTTGAGTGAATGGGATTGCACTACCTGACAGAGATGCAACAGACAACTGTGCAGAGTGTTTTGGAAGAAGCAGCCTGTGGTGTGGGAGCCACAATGTACACAATAGTTTGTGGAGAGAAGGAGACAAATGCATCAATCTCAATGCATCATGTTGGAGGCAGAGCAGTGATCCAAGCATTATAATATATATTGGAGATGGGTACAATCAAAGTCCACACTGTGTGACTCTTCAGCACACAATGTACAACTTGGTGTCAATGTCAAATGTTATGTAAAAGCAAATAATGAAAGTGAAGTTTTGGTTTGTAATTAGATGGTGGGAACAGAATTGCACGATGTAGAGTTGTAGTCCATCCCACACTTGACCTACAATCTTAGTATGGTAACTATGCATAACACTTTATAGAGCTCCATTATCTGCCAGAGAACTCTGCAGAATATTTCCTGGATGTGTCAAAAACAAAATAAAAAATGAAATGGAATCACCCTCATGTTCTTAAAGTTACTAACAGTGTTGGGAACAAAAAAAAACAAGGATTATGTACCAGTAAATGTATCCAATTAATTCTAGAACAATGTAAAGAAGGAAAGTATCATGTAGCCTTGTTTGTGTGTGTCTGAAGAACATTTGCAGCCCTTACTTTGTTAACAATTTATATGATGTGGAGCATAAAATTGTTGAACACTGTCAAGGTAATAAACTTATATTTTTTCCACAACACCTGTTTTTTCACACAATATTTTTCTAAAATACAAGAATGTCACAAAGTAGCCATTGTTCTTTGTTTAGCAGTAGCTTTTTGAAACATGGACTCATAAATCAAATGCTCTAGTTCCCATCAGGAATCTATGAAAAATCCAGTGGAAAATGAATGACAAAATCTCATTCACTTGTTTGTGTATTATTAAAATAATAATAATAATAATAATAATAATAAATGATTATTTTTTCACTTTCAGTTGTTGGCCTATGAATTTAGAAGCAAGAGAGTCAAAATTATCATACAAGGGAGAGTGTGGATAAGCTTAAGAGAGGCCTAGTGGGTGCCACATCAGCAGGATGGGGAGTGGGGGGTCCAATGCTTCATCCAGGTCAGCATGCCCTGCACTCCTCATGCTCAATCACACACCCACACACATGGCTGGAATTTGAGTGACCTGGCATGAAGCTGGCCTGTGAGCAACTGACAAATGTACTTGGTCATTGTAACTGAATACCCATGACATATCCTGCCATGCAATTGGCAATTGGATAGTGACGTCATTCTATCTATCTATATTAAAAAAAGGTAGAGGACCCATTTCCACTTGCTTAACCATTTTAGCATATCTGGAGCATGGGTATGAAAAATTAATATTTTTGCCTCTGTAGGGGAATAGAATTCAGGTTTTTTCACATGATTTTGTTCAAAGGCAAAATCAATGTGAATTTTTTAGCTGGAAAATCATGTTAGGCACAAACTTTTCATTCAGATTAACCTAATTCCAACCAATGGTTGATTGCAGCTTGAATTTCTGAGTAGGCATGAAATTACCTAATGGTGCCATGGAGTTGAGGCTAAATGTGCACTAAGTGATGCACCACCATAAGGTGTTATATCTTATGTATATAATTGTGTGTATCATGTCTTTTTTTTTATTATTTAATTGTGAACTTTAAATTCTTCATAAATATAAACATGTCTATACACTTCTTCAAAAATTGTGCAAAGTTCAAATCCTGTTGCAATCCCATCACTGTTGTTGTGAATGGATTT